TTCATCTAGGTAGATATGTGTTTGATGTGTTTTAGATATTATTACTAGGTGGTCGTCAAGTTGTCAGCTAACATTATTGGACAACATTTTGTATCTATAGTTGTTTTTCTGTGTTTCTGCACCTTGTTAAAGATACAGTATATAAATAATAATAACAGCAATAATACAAAATGTGACTTGCAATTTGGGTTGAAAGATTATGATCATCATATCAATTATAATTGAATATTTTGGTTCATCAAATAGTTAGAAAATATTACGGTATAAGTACTGGATGTCACACCACTCAGTTCGTAAAAATCTATTTGGAAAAGTCACACATATTATTGCAGTAGCTCCATAATTCTTAAGTCCTTGCCTGAATCATTGGTGCCAGTACCAAGTTGGTTACACTGTGGTGTTCATTTTGGACAATTAGAATAATAATAAACAATAGTGCTGTTAACTGGAGCAATCAATTTCCATCTCATGTTTATTACTGAAAATCAGTTTTGTGTTGTAATGAAGGTACTGGCCTAGAAACCAGGAAACAATAAGTTCAAGGCCTCCCTTAGGAAGCTGGCTAGTCTTTCTCTCAACCCAATCCACATTACAGGGGTGTTTTTGGGAGGACATCCTTGAGTTTTGAGGAGGAGGAGGAAGTCTGGATAATAGATGTTGCAGTATCTGGAGACAGCAGAATAGAAGAGAAAGAACTGGGAAAGCATGAAATACAAAGACCTTCAAATAGAAGTAGAATGTCTATGGCAAAAGAAAGCAAAGGCAATATCAATAATAATAGGCACCTTGCATGCAATCCCAAAACATCTGGAGCTCAATTTGAACACCATCAGCTTTGATAGAATCACCATCACTCAATTGCAAAAGGCAGCTCTACCTGGAATAGCTTACATTCTGCAAATGTACCATTAACGCCATTAAATAACACCTGCCTATTCCTAGTCCTTGGGAAGGGCTCAATAAGTGGACAAAGATGTCAAATCCAGTCTAAATATTTGGCTGACTGTGCAATCAATCATAATTTATAATTGTTTATTATAGATTTTAATAATTAGATTTCCATTCTGCCTTTATTAGTCTGTAAGTAACTCAAGGCAACAAACATAATATACATAATCCCCTTTCCTCCTTCCCTTTTCTCCATAACAACAATCTTCTGAAGTGGGTTGGTCTGAAATACAGTGACTGGTCCAGCATTATCCAGCTGCTTCTCATACCTTTTTCATTCCTTTTAGTTAAAGTTGTTAAGAAAATAGCAACAACAACCATAATAATTAATAAATGAGTTTGGATTTGGTACTTGGGTGGAATTTAACTTGAAATAAATAAATAAATCTTAAATTTCATCAGGAAATCCCTTCAAATCAAGGATTATCCTCTTCCGAGTGGGGTAGAAGGCTAGGCTAAATGAGGCTATGCTCGGCAGCCTCTCAGGGTAAAGGGGATCAAAAACTCAAGCTTTAATCATGAGGTGCCTTCTCCACTTTTTTGAGCCCCTTCAAGGACACCCCTGATTCTGCGATTGGTCAAATGCAGACATTTTGGCTGGCTACTGCTGATACTTTTGATTGAGTAGTGTTACCTTCTCAATTAATAATCTAAGGATTAATGAGAAAGTAGCAGTCTTACCTTTCCTGTCTTTCAGACTAAGAATAAGGCTAGAAAAAGGGGATGTTTTCTCGGCCAAAGCAACCCTACCACAATATCTACATAGCTTGGGAAACGAAGAAATAGATGAAGCTTTTTTTTCAACATGGGGGCCACTAATAACTGTTTGTGCAGCTGCCATAAATTCTTCCTGTTATTGATATGTGAAGTGGAGGTGTTTTGCACTTTGAGAATTTTTTTTTTCTCCTCCTGAAAAGGAGAGTTTCACTTCTAACTGGAAACAGCAGTAAGCATAGCCTGTTAGAAGAGATCTGATGCCAGCTGTTTTCCTCCTTTGGTCTGTTAAATGATTTGCTCTTTTTACAACTCTGACCTTTGGCCAAAAAAAGTGGCCCAGATGTCTGCGGGGAGGCAGAGTTATGGTTGTGTGCCAGGCAAGCAGTTGGCAATGGTTCAGTGCAACAGCTTTTTCTACATTCTCCAACCCATCCAGGCTATTTTGTGGTGTGTGTGTACGTGTGTGCGTGCACACCAGAGTTGTTCATCACAGCAAACTAGAGATTCCTTTGGGAAGCAAATCTCCCCAAGGCTTTACATTCTTAGATCGTCTACATATCACTCAACAAAATAAAAGGCAAACAGAAGCTTATGGCAAGTTCAACAACACATAGACTTAGGGCAGAATCCCAAACAGAGGCTGCCAGAAGTTGAAGATTTTTCCAGTATCCTCTATGCCAGAAAATAGCAGGGGAATTGCCAAAAACATTTGTTCATCAGAGGTACATGCGTACAGGAACCTCATTATATTTAGTGTAACACAGCGCATCAATTAGAGAGGATGCCTGCCCGATGAGTCTTATGACAGAACTGACAATGAGATATAATAGCAGGAGTCAACCCATGACACTATTAGCTATTTCATAAAACAACAGGAGACTTTCAGTTACAGAACAGAATGACAGGCTATATCTCAGATCAGGGCTACATCTAAACTAAGCCATAGCATTTCCTTGAGGATTATCTTTAGCCTGGCAGATATGTAGAACATTAGCTTAATAGCATGAAGTACGTATATGTGACAATAAGGGGTACAGTATGGCATAATCAGGCTGTGCATTAAGAATTATGGCTGCCCACACAATCACTTAATTCCAAAGTCTTGTGACTTTGTGTGTGGTGTTCAACTGGCATGTCTATACCTCACCAGAACTTTCTATAATTGGTCTCAGTACATATTATTACAACCAGTGTGAAGGATTTCAAGACTCAGTGTCATTATATGGATGATAATGGATGCATGTAAAGATTTGAGCATCTCCAAGGATCCGTTTATACATTCATATAACTCACTGATGTAGCAATTTTAAGTGTTTCTATCAAAGTCTCCCTGGCTACATCAGAATTTCTGAGCAAAATATCTGGATTATTGTGCTCGGTGATCTGTCACGCAATGGCTGGCAGAAGAATGCATGAGCTGTCTCTAGAGCAGTGTTTCTCAACCTTGATAATTTTAAGGCATGTGGACTTCAACTCCCAGAATTCCACAGCCAGCATTGCTGGCTGTGGAATTCTGGGAGTTGAAGTCCACATGCCTTAAAATTGTCAAGGTTGAAAAACACTGCTCTAGAGGAACATATGATGCTGGCTGAAGTCATGTCAGGTGATTTGGAAGTGTTTATCTGTGCAATCTGATTAAACATTGCACTCACTTCGGCATAAAGTTCCATAATTCATTTGTTCTGTTTGAAGTTTAGGAAAACCTCCAAAAGTACAAACAGTTCAAAAACTGAATCAATTATCCAGAAAGATGGTGAGCTCTTCTTTACCTGCTGTTTTCAAGAAAAGGTTGGCTAGCCATCAATTAGGATGCTTTAATTTGGATTTCTGCACTGGACAAAGACATAAATAGCCCCTATCTGCTATATGAGCATCTGATCATTTAAACACTTTTTTTCCCAAATTCTGGTATAATATGGGCTACAGATAGTTTAACTATCCTGATACAGTTGTAGTGGAGCTGGGGTGAGAATGGGGCCAGCTGAGAGGATTTTGAGATCCTGTATTCCAACCCAAGCAAACTAAGGTTGTACACTCTATGTATGGAAGTTGCTGCCCTCTAGTGTTAAAGTACATTTTGAAGTTATAGTAAAAAAAATATATTCATATTGATTTTCTTACCTAGTGTATGCAGATTCTTAATCACCCTGAGCATGGTTGTGCCAAAGGTGCTTTTCCAAAAGGTAACTGGGCTTTCTTGGTTTTTTTTTCCTTGAAACGTTTTGCTTCTCATCCAAGAAGCAAACATCCAAGAGAACTGAAGAAGCGAAACATTTTCAAGGAAAAAAGAAAGAAAGTCCAGGTGCCTTTTGGAAAAGCACCTTTGGGATTTTCCTACCTTCTTCTTACAATTATAGTTGGGACTGATTGATTTGTTTGTTTGTATCCCGCCTTCATGATATTTTTCTGGCCTCATCACTTCACTTGTTTCCAGTCAGAAACTTGCCAAGTGTTCCAAGACATAACTATGTACTTTAAAACTATTCTATACACTGTGCAAATGTTCAGTATGTGAATTCATTGCCAATCCTCCTTGGAAGTCACATAATATAATCTTAATTTAATCTAAAATTATATGTGATTCCAAAATCCATCATCCTTTCTTTTTATTTATTTATTTATTTATTTCTAAAATTTATATGCCGCCCAATCCCAAGGGACTCAGGGCGGTGTACAAAATTAAAACAATAATCTGAAAATAAAACAATAAAATAAATACATTCATACAGCGTGTCCAATCATATCTCGCCCCCCCCCTGGGGACATCAGCCCCAGGCCTGCCAGAACAGGAGAGTTTTAATGGCTTTCTTAAAGGCCGGCAGGGTGGGAGTAGTTCGAACCTCGGGGGGAAGTTGATTCCACCAGGTCGGAGCCACCACAGAAAAGGCCCTTCCCCAAGGGCCTGCCAGCCGACATTGTCTGGCCGACGGGACCTGAAGGAGGCCCAATCTATGGGACCTCACCGGTCTCTGGGAACTGTGCGGCAGTATGCGGTCCTGTAAGTAACCTGGCCCTATGCCATGAAGGGCTTTAAAGGTGATAACCAACACCTTGAATTGCGTCCGGAGACCCACAGGAAGCCAGTGCAGCTCGCGGAGGATAGGTGACACGTGGGCGTACCTTGGCACACCCACAATCGCTCTCGCGGCTGCATTCTGAACCAACTGCAGCCTCCGAACGCTCTTCAAGGGTAGCCCCATGTAGAGCGTGTTACAGTAATTATACTGTAAATTAACCTTTTAGGTTTCCATGACCCTTGTGTAGCAGACATTGGTATCCAGATTTTTAAATCTTAATTTCTTAATTCTCTGCCTTTCTTTATTCCTGGCTATTAGGTATCGCACATTCTTCAGACCCAGGTACAAGATTGGATACAAGACAATCACTGAAATAGCATGGAAATGCTGCCCAGGTCTTGTGGGAGAAGGATGCCATCATGATAATCCCACTAGTCAACCAGGAATTCCATCCCAGCATCCCAGCCCCAGGATGCCTCCAACTCAGAAGATGTTTCCAGGTCCCAGAGCTCCGCCTTATCCCAAAATCCCTGTGGACTCATTTCCTATACCAAAAAAGAATAATTACGGTGAGGATCCATATTTGACTTTGTCACACCAAGGATCATAAAGACGGTCTTTATGATCTTGCCAGTGCTCCTTGTTCTTTTTTATCCAGATCTGTTGGACATGCAGAAACAAGCACAGGCTTACAACTTTTATTGCTCAGCCTCTAAATGAAACACATCACACATTCACATGTTCATACATGCCTACATAAGACAAAGTCTGGCTGACCAGAAAAATTAAGACGGGACATCTACCATGTATAGTAATTAATTCTATGTGATGTCTCTATAGTGCCCATAAATGTAAGAGTAAAGGTTTCCCTGTCCAGTTGTGTCCAACTCGAGGGGCGATGCTCATCTCCATTTCTTAACTGAGGGAGTCAGCACTGTCTGAAGACACTTCCCTGGTCATGTGGCCAGCATGACTATATGCCGAGGCGCACAGCACGTTGTTACCTTTCCATGAAAGTGGTACCTATTTACTACTCACATTTTCATGCTTTCAAACTGCTAGGTGCGCAGGAGCTGGGGCAAGTACTGGGAGCTCACCCCATTGGGTGTCGAACCTGGGCTGGTGACTTTAAAGCCAGCAAGCCCAGCATTTTAACATCTGAGCCATCATGAGCCTAATAGTACTCATACACTATTATATTATATTTTTATAAAAGTAATCATAGTTGTGGTTAAAACTTTTTTAAAAAGCATATTTGGATATTTGTGTCTTTTTAAAAACATCCACTGATATGACTCAAAATAATGCTGAACTTTTGATTTTTACAGAAATCACCAGATAAGATCAAAGGAAAAAGCAAGAATGGGGAGCAAATCATTACATCTAAAAAATTACAGGACATCTATAATGTAAAGTTAATCTCAGTATAGAGACTAGGTGCTAAATACAATTAATTAATGACAGGTTTTGCTGAACATTTAGTACCCAGATAATGGCTGTTCTCCAAACTCTGAAAAAAAAAAAAACATTAGCCATGTAGTGTGCAAAGCTATGATTTGGTTTAATTATAGTTTATTGAATCAACCACAATTGGGTTCATGTATCATATTAAATTAAAATCCATTGTATGGTCATATAACATCCAGGATATCACAACTTTTTTTCTTTTATAAAAGGTTTACTTGTGGAAAGATACTAGCCCTGAAAAAAACTGAACAGCACAGCTGGGAGAAAGAACAAAATGAAATATTTTGCACATCCTGAAAGCCCAAACAAGCTACATTATAACTTATTGCGTGGTATGAACCCAGTCAGTCTATTCAATGCATAGCAACCGAGGAGAAATTGGTTCAGTACATATTCAGATCACTATACAAACTGAAATGCAATTCTTCTTCAAAATGCAGACTTCTCTCTCTTCAGCAATGCAAATATTTGACTCCAGGAAGGTTTTCCAGTAGATGAATCAATGAAATATGTGCAAGAATGCTGAATGTGGTGAAATGGGGGAATACATATATGAGGCTACAAAATGTGTTAACTAGAAATAATGTCAATGAAAATATGTTCAAATGTTGATACAATTTTTGTTTTTACAAAACTAACAAAAGCAGAAATGGAGTAAACCAACATTAAAATGGAAAAGTAAAATAAATTGAAATTGCCAGATTCACCCACCTCTAAATAAATTCAAGAGGCTTATACTGGGAGTCAGGCAGAGCATCGTTTGTAGAGCAACAGAAAGACTCATTTTAGCTTCTTTTGCTTTTGATAACAATGGGCTGGCTGCTCTGTCCCTTCATAGGATGCTGTGCAGATCTGCAAATGGATGGGTTATTTTGACAAAGACTTGAACAAAGGAAGCCCCAAAGCTGCTGGTAAAGCAGCTGCGCCTTCTTACTTCTAAAAGTGAAATGGGCATGTTGCGTTACTCATTCATTTCAACCTCTTTTGGTACCATCGAAAGGTAGAAGGATGGGGCATATGCACAGAAGCCCATTTTGCATTATTACTTGAGATTATGCAATGATAAGATATGCGTTGTAAAAGCTGCTCGAAGTCCTCCTCAGCCTTGTGAGATAGTCCAGGCAAGAAGCACACTCAGAAATACTAGCTTTAAAATTACAATAAGGTTACATTAACAGAATCTTGCAAGTCTGAAAGTACATCTCTCCCCTCCCATCTTTATAGTCCTAAAAGCTAGAGAGGGTCCCTTCTCAGTTGTTTAGCATACCTCCAGTTTTTCTGCAGACTTAGTTGTCACTTATTTAACAATGGTCTAATCTATCTGTCTCCCAAGGTCATTCCCACATACCATTACACACACACACACATAGCTTTGGTCCCCTGATGGATAGCATGGCCTGAATCCAGACAATAATCATCTCAGTGTGTCTGCAAAAGAGTAATAATCACATTATTTCTGTTTATGTCCTGCTCCTAGGTCGAAAAATGCCTACTGTGTTTGGAGACAGACTGGACCATCTAGAAGAGGAGGTCAGACGTCTCTCACAGTCTTATGATACCTTATACAATATGGTGAGTGGCTTGGGGGATCACTTGCGACTTGCCATCCAAGAAGATACTAGTAAAATGATTGGATCCCTCATGAACAGTCCAACTGTTCCTGATTCAGCCATGGGATTCGGAATCATTCCTGATGGAATTGTGGATGCTGCAGACAAAGCTGAGCTCTCCCCTTATCCACCTGTGGGTGAGATCTTAGGCAAAGTGACTGAGATGAGTGATTCACTGAAAATCAAGACTAACCTACTTGAAGAAGTGCATGGCATGGTCCTAGATCATGACGGGCAGATCAAACACTTAATGGAATCAGCTCGGCCTTCACCACTCACCTCAATTGATATGTTAGAAGAATATATAGACAACAGGCTTAGCAACCTGAGGGTGGAGCTTTTGGATGGCTTTGAGAAAAAACTGATAAATATTCAGGGAACATGTGATTACCAGATCAAGGAAGTAAAACAGCAATGTGAGGAAGAGAAAGCAGCCAACCTTCGACTTCAGCAGATCTTGGATGGCAAAGAACTGGAAATCAAGAAAGACATTTCTCAACTAGAAACACAGATTCAAGGACTGACAGTTGTAGAAAACTGCTGTAGCAACTTGAACTACCTCACTGAACGGATGGATATTTTGGAAAAAGGCCTACATAGTATTTCTGAGTCTCAGAAAAATCTAAACTCTAGGATAGATATTGAATTGTCCTCCGATACTTTGGGGAATCTCTTTGAAGGACACTTTGTGGACCTTGAGGCTAGGCTGAATTTTACAGAGAGGGAAATAGGACGTTGTTGTTCTAATGTAGAAAACAGCATGAGAGGTTTGATGGGATCAGAGCTAGATGGCACAAAAGCTCTTTTTGAAAACAAAATGAGAACTTTGGAGGAGAGACTCATAACTATTGTAGGAGATGTGAATAATGTCAGTTCTACATTGGGGCTAGATGGAGCTGTAATGCCCTTCTTGGAAGGAGAGCTTGCTACCATAACAAGGGAAACAGATGAAAAGATGGAAGTACTACAGAGCCAACTGACGAACTTGGAGAGTACTTGCTTGTTGGGTTGCACTTCCAAATCCAAAGATGTAGAACTCTTCCGTACAGAGATAGAAGACTGCCAAAACAAGAACCAAGATTTACTTTTAAGAATGGACAGCAATTCAGATCTGCTGCAAAAACTCAATATTACAATCTTGGAGATGCAGAGACGGATTGAGGAGGAAACAGCTGGAACCTTGCAAGGTGAGATCACATTATTAAAAATCAATTTGAACACCATGACTAAATCTCTAACTGGGCTGAAGGATTCTGTTTCCCAGTACTCTGACTCAGTAGTGCATGTTAACTCATCCTTGGATGATCATGAGCGCAAGATAGAAGATGAAGTCCATTCACTTCAAGAAAAGATCAGTAATCAAGACTCCCAGCTTCTCTTCAGCAACAAGCGTGTCTTGAATCTAAAGGGAGATCTTGAAAGGCTGAGATCCAGGATCGTCAATGACTTGAGCAACTGCAAAAGTCTGGCTCTCGGCCTGCAAAAAGAAGTGCTCCAATTCGATGACCGTGTGGCCCAAATAGAAGATATGTGTGGCAGACTGGGCACAGTAACGGGAAGCCTAGAACACATCCGAAATGAATTGGAGAACAATGCAGGAAGTATGTGGGGTTACATGAATCATATTAACAAAACTTTAACTACACACTCTGAGGAAATAACTGTGCTCAAGAATAATTTGTTGGATTGCCAAGCAAAAATTACAGAACTAGCTGAAGATGTTGGTCTCCTAGAAGGCAAGCTGAAAAACAACCAACATTAGTTATATTGGGTCCAAAGTATACCTAACTTATATCATACAGACTCCAAAGAGATGGTACCAGGATTTTGGTTTTATTTTGATTTTGAGAGGGGAAAGGTCACTGAACTTTAAAAGCTGCTATAGTCCTTTCCCTGATTTCTTCGATATGACTTTTTAATTACAATGTAAGTATGTTTGTCATTAAGTGTTCTTTCTACAGATATTTAACAATTGTACTTACATAGCAGAGTGCCTTCCCATATTTCAGGTCATATTTAGGTTACATTTCTAATACATAGTTCAGTTCAAGTGGAAACCGGAGACAATCTTTTTAAAATGGTTCTTTGCTTTGGGAATAAATCAAAATCTAACACTTAAGGACTGAAACAAAGAAACCCAATATCTGCCAGATTTATTCATCTACTAGAAGAGAAATTATTTTCAGAGGCCATAATACAATACTCAGAGTCATGTGATATTTAAGATAAGACTTCCTCCACCCATTTTATATAAATGCTAAAAAAAATCTCCAAAATACGAGTTTGAATTTTACCTGATAGCATCAACTGATACAAACTTATGGGGTATTCATGTAGGTCAGTGGCATGATAAGAGCTGAACCCAATAAAAGAATGCCCTTGAACAGAACATAGTTATTTTCCCTATTGCATTGTCCTATAGTGATCAAGCTGAATTTTTCAAACTGATATTCTCAAAAATTGTGCAATCTGACTTTTGCATGAAGGATGGTAAGGAACAGGTCACCAGTTTAGATCCATCAGATAGCTTATTGCAATTCTAGGAATAGAAGAAAAGAAAGCATACATAATATAGTGTTCTAGCATTACTATATTGTTGCTTCCTATTTTTGTATACAAATGGAAGAAGTTCAGTTGCACAAGATAATTATTATTGTACCCAACATATTTTAATCTGATTTCTTCTTGGGCACTCTTGAACAACCAATTCTTCTTCTATTTATTCTCACTTATTTATTTTTGAGAATGATAGCCTTCTTTTCAAAGGAATTGCTCTTAAGGTAGTGTAACAGAAATGGCATGTAATAATCCAATTTTGTTTAGTTCACATTTACTTTATTTCAAGTCAAACTACAAATAGAAGCAAATATTCTTCAAAATTCATATTATTCCCCATTCAGCAATACAGAATGTGTGTGTGTGTGTGTGTGTGTGTGTGTGTGTGTGTAATCACCTACACATATTTGGGAAACATGCATAAAATGCATACATTAGTGAAACTATGACAGAAATATATTTTAAGTTATAATGCATAATGTCATATAAAAATTATAAGCAATACTGATGAAAATACATTTAATTTTAAAAGGAATTTGTTTTGACCCAAACTGAAGCAGAATCATGTTGAACTAAATTTAAAACTGAGAAATAAGAAAAGTTAAACTTAGTACTATTAATCCATTGGTATGTATGGCTCAAGAGAATGTCAGAAGAACTCAGCTGCAGATAAACCTCAATAAGAATGTTCTGTTCTGCAGCTGAAGGCCTGTTCCATGCTTTTCTCCTATTGGACCCACTTTTACATTTTTGCTCCCACATGAAGACTACATTAAATTACTGGGCAATTCGCATAACATTAGATAGTGGCTAGAGAAAAATTTTCAGATGCACATATGAAGAACTTGCCATGCAGAAATTAAGAGCAAGTTAAATTGGCTTCCATGTGATAGTTACACTGGATCCAGAGTAGGAAAGTACTCTGGGTCCAGGATGGGTTTCCTAATAGTATCTGTGACTGTGACTTTTTAAAGGAATCGATGACACACATACAGCCCGCACTAGGTCTGAAGGGCCCTTCCTCCTTTGGATCCAAAAAGATATCCTTCTACTTGCGACTTCTAAAGAGCTAATTCCTAGATGTACCTTTTTCACACAATATGCAACTATCGGATGGGTTGATTTTGTGCAATCAATCTGGCCTCAACTGTTAGTAGACACATAAATTAACATTCTCTAGAATGAGCTGTTACTGACCTGGTCCTTCAAGGTTTTCACACATCACTCCTATAATCAAGTCCACCCACTTTATCACTGGTTGTTCTTTTTCCTTCCACTTTTCCCAGCATTAGAGATCTCTGAAGTGAACTAGGTCCTTGCATAAAGTGTACAAAATATCATTTGAACCTGGTCATTTGTGCCTCAGGTGAGAACTCTGGATGGAATACTATGCTTAAGTTTATATGAAGAAATGAAAGTGTAAACAAGAATGTACATAGTTACTGCAGCAGGGCAAAACTTTTCTTTTCCTGCTCACCTTCTAAGCCTTTTCTTAGGTAATTCACAACCTTTATCCTAGTCAAATGCTAATGAAGAGCATCAAGAGATGCTTTCCTAGTATAGCTGTATCATTCTTCATGATTAAGCTGCCAGTTACTTTTCTTGTTCTTCCCTGGAACAAAATGATAGTTGTGTCACATTTTTCTTTATTGGTCTAGCAGCCCAATGGGCACTCAGGAATGATCTACTCTTACTGATGAGTAGTACCCAAGAAATTAATCCAAATTAGTAATTTTATTCCATAACAAAATTTTATGCCACTTCTCAATAATGAATCAGAGCAAAATTAAAAATCAAAGAAGAAAGCCAACACTCTTAATAAAAGAGAAGAAATTATCCTAGTGCATCTTGTATTTCTCTATAGGAATTTATGTTTATTAGAAAAAAAAATCTTTCCAGCCAAACCTTTGCTCTAAACCAGAGTATATTCCGTTCATCTTTCTCTTTCTTTTACCTTGCAGGGTTGTTGTAAAGATAATGTGCATGAAATGCTTTGAATACTTGAAATCAGCTATGTAAATGTTGCTTGTATTAAACTGGGTAAATATATCACATGATGTCAGACAGTATAAACATATGTATTGAAAGATATTCCACCCAGAAAGAGATTTGAAACCTGTATGTTCTTTGTCCTCAAATTCCAAGTCCCCCAACAGAGCAATTAAGCGTTGCACTGCAAGGTTATTCTGCAAACAGAACAGGATGTCCAGGGAAGATTCAATGGCTGCTTCAAACAGCAGATCAGGGCATTAATGTATTGATCTCAGGACTTTATCCGATGCTCTCCTGATGCAAATCTAGGAGAAATCCACTATCTCAGTGTTTCCTTCTGAGGGCTCCTCAGATAAAGGTGAGACTGCAATCCCATGGTGTGGTTTGTTGCCTTGGTTCCTTGCTCTGAGAAACCCCAATATGGCATCTAATGGCTTTCCTCCAGCAGCAGCAACCCTGCAGAGCATATGCCAGACCCATACATTAAAGTGGACATTCAGAAGATAGATGTGAGTGAGCTCACTATGGCAACCATCTAAGATGTTGAAGAGTGCACAGTGTCTTGGTAAGATGGGAGGGAGAAAATGGCAAGCCAGCAATTAAACAAGGATAATATGTTCTGGGCCTCCCCTCAAATGGCACTGACAACTTCTCCAATCTTCTCTTATGTTTGAATTTAGTGGCATTACTTCTTATGAGTGATATCTTCAACTCAATCCACTTTTTCTGAACATTCTGTGTTCCCTGTGAAAAAGGCACGGGTTTCACCCCCGCCTCTTTTTTTGTAATGAATTCTCATGGGGTGGCTTTGGGGAGATGTTGGAACTTATTAGTGGGTTTCATAATCAATGTTTTGGGGCCTGGCAATTGATCTTATTGTACATACATTTACCAGACGTAACTGTAACTGGTTTCAATTAAACTTACGCATAAGTTATCTAAGATTTTGAACATGAAGTATAGTTCAGCATTCTGAGTTCAAGCATTCATATTCTATGAAAAAATTTAGAGACACTCATGAAATTATAGTTGTTTACTTCCAGATGTTGAAGGTACAACAGTTCTAATGTGGAGGCTGCATTTGGTTTGTTATCATTAAAGCCAATGAATAGACCTATTTGACTATTATATAATCTCTCCCCTTTTCTTGGAAGTATTATTACATTAGTTTCTGTCACATGCTGTTGGGAGTGGCCTCTATTACAGTACAGTAATAGAGGCCCCTTATTATAGCACATGATATATTTCCATTTGTTAATTCCAGTCCTATACAGTCTCTTGCATTAAATATTGCATATTGGGTAAAATGGTTTACCATATGCAAATAATCTACATACATTCTATTATCTCAAATTCTAGTTCTATATGCATTGGCTCATATCAATCAGGAACTGGATTATATGGCAGAAACCGCCTTAATTTAGCTCCTTTCAAATGCATTTGATTATTAACCCCTCATCTCATTGACCTTACTATCTGAGGTTTATGAAAATTGCAGTCAAGCTCATTTGAAGGGTATCAGATTGGAAAAAACGTTGCTACAGGGCTATGTGTCATGGTTCCAACTTTACAAATGAGCATGGTTGCAGCCATTTTCCTTCTCATTTGAGGTTATCACTATGTACATGGTAACATCGGTTAAATGAGACCACTTGTTCTTTGAATGATTGCACAATCGATTTACCAATACAGTTAGTCCTCTACATATGACCACAATTAGGATCAGAATTTCCATTGCTAAGTTGTTAAGCGGGTAATGCCCAATTTTACAACTCTTTTTGGGATGATTAGGCAAATCACCATAGTTATTATGTAAGTCATGTGATTGTTAAGCAAATACAACTTTCCCCATTGACTTTGCTTCTCAGACACCAGCCAGGAAGGTTGACAACAGTGATTGTGTCTCCCCTTGACAATACAGTCACTGTAAACATTTGCTGATTGGCGAGTGGCTGAATTTTAATTGCATGGTTTTGGGAATGCTGCAATACTTGTAAGTGCTAAGACTGGTCATAAGTCACTTTTTCAGTGCTTTGTAATGTCCAACAGTCACTAAATGAATAGTTTTAAGTCAAGGACTACCTGTATTTCATATATAAGGCAGATAAGAGTTTATCTAAGGGATAAAGATAGCTCTCAGTAATCTTTAAAACATACCTTAGCCAAGCTCCTTATTTAAAATGATATGACAGCAAGTGGCAACAGTCAATTTCCGACAGATCAGAATAGTGGAAAATGAGGTAGAAACAAAATAGGTATTAATCCATTTTTCAACTGTGATGCTACCATTTTTGATTTAGGCTTGGATTTGAAATTTTGAACAAACTTGTAGTTAATCTGTTTTTAGACCGCTAATTTACAATCGAAGTCTTTTTGCTGAGATTTTCAAGAAACAGGGTATTAAATGTGGAGATTTCAGATTTATTTGTTGTTTCTGGTAGGTTGTGACTATAATTGTAACAATGATAACCCTGTTTAGCTGGGGGTTTTTTTAAAGGAAAATTTATTGGTGGTTAAAGCTGAATTATTGTTTCTATTGGGGCTTTGGGAAGAGAGGAAACGCTCACCAAATATTCCAGAATTATATTACTGAAACATCTTCTAATGATAAATTTCCAGAAAACTATACAGGCATTTAAGATATTGAGAAAATGGAACAAAACTGACCAGCAATGTTATTTTCTTGATCACTGGTAAAAACTGGAAGAAGAAGAGGGATGTAGCTGTAGATATATAGCTTATACTTTATGGCAGTAACACTACTTTGATTTGCAAAATCCACTCACGCATTACCAAACCAAGAGGGAACTATGCCACTGAAAGGAGGTCTAGGTTTGTATAAAATGCTCATATGTGCACATTTGGAATCAATCAATATAATTTAAATAGAAGAACACCTCTTCATTTTGGGCAAGCCCATGACCAAGTATTTGGGATGCTTCCTTATTCTTTTTCTGTGGAAAATCAAAGCCCCTCTTAAGGATTAGATTGGACAAAGCTTTCAAAAGGAGATTTTTTTTTTTCAAAATTAGGATACATCATCTGTCAGTTTTGGAAACAATGTGAAATTATCACCTAACAGTTTTGAAAATGATATCTTAGGTCCTCCAGACTGCACATATCCAGCATGGTAATTTATGTTGATTTAGGATTCTTTTATTTAGTCTTCAAACCCAAAATCTCAATTATATAATTGCTTTTGCAAAAAAAAAAAAACAACAGGAAAAAAAAAAAACCTAAATGGTGCACCCCTGTGGTCTCTAGGAGTTGTGTTCAGCCCAATAATATATTAATCATTTAATGTATAATGCAAGGCCAAAAACAAACAAACAAATCACTTTATGGTTTAGTATGCTGGACAACTGGCCAATTACAACCGATTGAGCAAATCAGATTGATAAATTCAATAATGTTAAAGTACAAATTCAATAGGTGCTAAGATCCTGAATTTTAATTCACACTAATTTAGCATGTTAAAGACTAAGTTATCAAATAAGATACTGTAGCTAAGTTTTCAAATGTATAAGATCCTTCAAGTTAAGTATGTGCTGTATCTCCTATTCAAATCACAATGTGATGTGTTGCCTGTTTACAGCAGAATTATGTTTACAGAGTTTTGGGGTTAAGAACTGGAAGTTGTTATTGCTTAGGATACCACGTAGCAACAGTGATGACAAAGAGAACACTTTTTTGTAGGTTTATTGAAAATACTTTCTGCAGCTTTTCAGGGTTTGAGGCTGAGACTCTTTATGTCACCTGATCCTTTAAATTGATGCCAAAGTTTGAAGTTGGAAATTCCTACATATCTACCATATATTTCATAACTAGAAATCACCTCCTCTTGACAGAAAACAAGGTCTGCATAATGAAGACCATAGGAAATTCATAGAATGTTGCAAATAGATGGCTCATAGGACTTGAGTGAAATATCCTTTTGTTCACTGTACCCCAATCTAGGTTTACAAAGGAGGAAAACACGTGAAGTAGAACAAGACCTGGCTCCCTGAATCCAATTTTCATTAAATTCACAACAAAACTATAAATGTCCGCTAGAGAAAAGAAATCTGCACAAATCTTACAAAATGAGTGATTTTTGCTTATTGTATTGCACTTTCCCCACCTTTATTATTGGTGCCCTTGTGATAAAGAATATATAATCTTTGATTTTCAGAATTACCCGTGCTAATGGACATTTGGTGTTTGACTATATCTCTAACCAAAGACATTATAAAAAATATCATAGCTAATAAAGAAAAGAATTTGGCAGCTATTAATTACCATAAGGTCAAAGACTACATTTTCTTTATCGTCATGATTTAAAATATCCCATTACAGAAAGTCACAGTGTTCATGCCTATTGCTACATTCAAGAGACAGAGTTCAGCATTCAGAAGAGGCTCTGTAAAACCAGGGGTCTAGTTCAGAGCAGCACTAGAGAATATTTTTTAAATGTCACAATATTCAGAAGTAATGTTTAAAGAATGTCCTATCCATAATACTTCTAATCAACAAAAGCAGCACAGAATTGAAAGCATTATGAAAGGGGTGTCATTTCTTTAAAATACTAACATCTAGGTGAAACATGGTTTGGTAGGTTTTAAAGCACTATGCTGGTGAGTGGAAGAAAAATGTTCTATATAAGCTGCTTATCTTCTAGGCCATGAGTTCTGTTGACCCCAAACACTGGGGGATGGGAGGAGTGGAGACTTTCCGCCCTTATTAACATCATGAAGTCTATTTGCAATCTAAGAATAAAGACTAGAGTACAATCACGTAACGATATCACAAATACTTAATCATACAGCATATCAGTCAAATCTTGGGTTGAAAGAACACATTTCCACACAAGATGCTCCTTACTCACTACAAACACACATCCTTTCTAAAGGCCAAGTAGTTTACATAATGGAGGAAAAATAGCAAGCTTTATTTTGCCGCCTAACCATCATATTGGAGGACCAAAAAGTAAGAATTCCTTGGGAAATAATGTTGGTTCAGAACAATCAGACAAAGTTTTCGAAGTCTACGCTAGGCAGGGATGGTTTCCAGTAAGAGAA